ACTTTTGTAGGTCCGTATGCCATACGTCCTTGGCAACGAAAACGTTAATTTAATGGTGTTCAGAACTGAGCTTTTTTTTTCTGCATTTTCTCATTTTTATAGAATAGAATGTTATAAATGCACACAAACTGCAGATTTAAAGGATATTTAAAACCTGCTCAAAAACATTTAAAATGTTAAGATATCTACTGCTCAAAAAAGGTTTAAACTCTCCTGTGTCTCCGCCGTGCTCTCCCGTCCGAAGATCTGAAAAATCTCGGGCGGCCGCAAAGAATGATGGGGCAGGCGCATGCGCAGTACAGATCTCGCCTCGTCTCCTTGCCAGGAGACGAGGCAAGACACAAGGTAAGTTAATGCAGGCACCATGGTAGCGTGCACCCGCACAGACTCAGTGGGACATAGACAACACAGCAGATCGAAGACTTGCACCAGCACCGGAGGGACTCCTGAAAACTACAGGAAAGAAGAAGATGATCGGATTAAGAGGCATCATTTTAAGGTAAGTCCTTACATTAGCATTATGGGGGGGGGGGGGTTCCTTTAATTTCACTTTAAATTCACTTACCTTTCCAGATCTCATTGAATACCTTACATTTGAATCTAAGTACAGGAATGTCTAATAAGGGAAATTATATTTTTGCAGGCTTTAATGGAAAGCTTGGATGAGAGTTTGTCACTGCAGCATGGCAACAGTGACAATTCAGCTGATGAATATGACAGTACTGAAGAAGTCCTTTCGGATGAAACTCAGGAAGCTACCAGAACTTTAACTGAATTAAAGTCTATATCATCAGCAGCCAGCCAACAAAAACTGCTGCCTGGAAATTTAGTTGTGCTACAATTTAATGGAAAGTATACTCTCTTTGTTTTTCATTTACAAAAGTATCAACTCCCATGAGTTCTAAAGTCAAACTCCATCTAAAGCTGGATTCAAACATAGCGTTTGCGGTTCCCGCACGGTTTGCTGCACAGGACGGAACCGCTATTGTTGTTTAATCCGCACGGATGCCGCTCGTTTGTGTCTATTAAATAGCTGCGAGCGCGCGGAATCCGCTGGATTATCGTGCTTGCACTAATTCGGGGGCCGTACGGTTTCCGCAATGGTGTGAACGATGCATATTGTAGTGCATCGTTTTTTGTGTTTTTAGAGCAGCTCCGTGGGTATAAGAATTGCCGAATACGCGCAGAGAAATGCTCTGGTGAATGGAGCCTAAGAGTTTATCCAATTTTCGGCTAGGCTGAGGAAGAGTTAGAATGGTCAGGTCTGTGTTGCTGCCTGTGCTCTCGTTTTTTTTCTGGCCTTGTAACCAATGTCTGCAGGACAGAAAGTAAGGGCAAATCGAGCATTTTGTCACCAGAACTGGAGTAGAAGAAAAGTAATCCCCAAGGAAAAAGATGGGAGGACTAGTAGGGTAAACTGGGTTGCACCTCTAGGAGTCCGGCGTCCAGTGGGGAGAAAAGAATCTAAAACTAACTGATGCTAGTTTGGCTCAAAAAGGGCAGCATATAAATGAGCCAGGTTCCCAGATTGTATGGAATGCTGTTCTATTTTTGTTTAGTGGATGAAAAAAGCCGGTGGGCTTTGAAAGCTGTTGACATAACAAAACTGACTTTCTATCTTTTCATTTTTAATTGTACCAATGGCTAAACGTTATCATTCTTATTTAAATATATTTAGCAGTTTCTCAATAGCATTAACACAGCAGGTTTTGTTTTTTTGTGCCCCACCTCTAACAACCTTTTTAATTCTGCTTTGACTTTGCCAGTAGAGCTGTTATTTTTCAACTGCCTGTTTCAGGCAGGACCCATTCAGGGTATTTGTGCATTTACCGCGTGTTATTGCGCAGCACACCTAGAGTGCGCTACCATGCGGTAGGTGCGCTGTGCGATAGTGCACGCTAAACGCATAGATACTGTGCATTTAGTACAATGCTATGGTGAATGGTCCCTTAGTCTGCTGGAGCCAAGGTTTGTGAAAACTGAAAAACTGCATTTGTTGTGGCTGACCTGCACTAGGCTTATTCAGTGTGCTAGGCAGGACTTTGTGTGTATAAATTTAGTGCCAGAACATGGCTAGCTTTTGTTTTATTATATTTACAAATATTTGTTAATAGCACCAATAAACGCACAACTGTTTGCAAAGAAGCCACTGGACTGGCTCCCATGCCTACAAAAAACAGGAAAAAAAAAACTCACTAGCACCCACTATCTTTTCACCACTTACACTACAAAAAGGACATCTAAGCTTTTTGATATTTGCAAGTTATTTAATTTACATGTTTCATTAGCATTCTTTCTGCATTTCTGCCAAAAAAGAAGTAACAGTCAAGGATTTTACTCTACGTGTACAGTACAGGCAGGATAAGCATTCAGCCAAACACCTAAACAGGAAGAATAGAAAATAAGGTTTCTGGGGGCTTGCTGGACACCAACATAATTGACTTGTGTAGCATTTACATAGACACCACCACTGTGCAAAGAATGGGTAAGTTGACAGTGTCTAAAGTCACTGTCACTCTTTAAAGTGGATCTGAATTTAAAAAAAAAAAAGTAACTTTATACGGAACATCTAGTAATGGTAATTTGTGCATAGCAGTGCCCTGAAAATGACACCTTTTTTTTTCTTGTTCTCCTCCTGATAAACAGCAGTTCAATTCCTGTTATGTGAGAGTGTCTAGGCACTCCTGTAACCATGACCTCATAGCTGTATATCTGCATTGTGAAATATAAAGCATTACTGCCTCTGACTGCTACTGCCTCAGGAGATTTGGAATGAGATTTGCTGATGTCAATACTGTGCTGCTCACTGTGCGCCTTGCTTGTTGCTCTGAATAAGGATGTGCAGGGGCTTGGTGTGAACCCAGTTCCTTTGTGATGTGTAGCTGTGGGGCGGGGAATGTCCTGGCCACCAACTGATTGGTCCAGAAGGGGGGTATGTCAGTGATGCTGTATCACTTGTATTTCAACAGCCATCACTGGCTGTTTAAAATGACATCAAGAACATGGCTGCAGCAGCAGCTGTGTTCTTGGTATAACCACTTCTGTGGCCTGCGTATTTTAACGGCTACCCACAGCAAGTGGTTAAAGATTCTTACCTTGTGACGCCAATGGTGTCACAAAGCATACAATGTCCATGCTATAAACCAGCAGTCCCCAACCTTTTGTGGTGGGTGATGTGCTGTGTCTATGGTTTTGGGATGATTCAAGTTCATTTATTGTGGGGGGGTGCCAAAATTTTCAGGAGACGTGCAGAGGGTCTCATGAGATGTCTTTAGAGACACTACATTGTCTTCTGTCTTTCCTCAACCAGTGCTCTCCACACTGAAGGATGAGAGGCATGACAGGAAGTAATCATCACTGGAGGTCTCTGTACTCCCCTTGTTTGTCAACAGGCATAACAAGCTGGCATCCTGCTGTGTGTTCCCCCCATTGGGTATAGAGTATGTCTGGAGTCCTCGTGGGTCCTGATCACTAGGAGATAGGTCCTCCTTCTGTGGCTGAAAAGCAGCTTTTTTGAGGAAGTTCCATAGGTGTCTTCTTTTTGTTTTCTGTCCTTTAATCAGGTGATTGGTCTTAGCAGCATGGTTAAGGTTCCTGTGCCTTGAACCATAGCTGTGGATGCTTCACTGGACTGTGGGGGATCAGAAGATACTTGGAACCATGTTCTGAACCATGGTTAGGCAGGTTCTGAAGGGTTCCTCTGTCAGCCCCAGAGACACCTCTGCTTGTTAATGTGGATGCATTTTTTACTCATCCTCTTGCTCTTCTGGTGTTTTTACTTGCATCATCATTCTGGGGATTGTACTATACCTACATCCCTGCCTACCTTTTGTAGGTGTAGCTTTACCAAACCCTACCCCCTTTTCTTCAGTACAGCTGAATTCATAAAAGATACCCTTGAGTTTTCTATTAGTCTCAGGGGTCATTGAGTTATCCTTATGGGCTATTACTGTGAGGATTCTCACATTCATTAAATATCTAATTGGCGAGATTGGTTGTTTGGCCAGGCAACCTTTATTCTTATGGAGCCTTCCTTCCCTAAATCCTAAGCATTGGGAATGTGAGGCCTGGATCTTCACATGTAGATTGGCTGGTCTTCTCTTGTGGACCTGTTTTTTGTCCAATGTTCCTTTTGGGGACTTGTCTTAGTTTTCTTTTCTGTTGACCAAATCACATTGTTGGTCTATTTCCTTCTCATCAGGTAGTTATGTTGTTCCATCTATTTTGACAGATTTTTGGTTTCACACCTTCTTGCTAGTGCAGGCTCAGTGTTCCTTCAGGTTGAGTCATTCCTCTTGGCAATTGTCTCCTCTCCTGGTCTTATTGCCCTTCCCCTAGTTGTTGGTAGATTCCCGTCTGACAGAGGACATCACCTCGTTTAGTTCAAATTCGAGCATTGGAACTTCAGGTAGTCTTGAGTTGTAGTACATGTGGGGAAGCATCGCTAGTCATGACTGACAAAGGATCTGCATCACTGGATGATCTGTTTTGGTGATGGATTTGCACCCTGGGACCTAATTTTTTAAAAATGGACTTGTCAGTGTGTTTTATTTACTTTTTTTTTTGTGACTACTCATTTATGTAGGGAAGGGGGCACATATCCATATCAGTCCTTAACAGCATGAGGTGCCCCATCAAAATCTATACCAGAATCTGATGATTGTCTGGTATAGATTTTGGGGGTGTCCCAATGCTATTAATATCATAGATATCCATTTAAAGGGAATTTTCAATTTTAATGTTTCACTTTAAGCTTTAATTAAATAGAAGAGTTGCCGCCCAAAGAACAGCACTTCTTTTACAATGTATTTTTGAATTAATATGTGTATATCAAGTTTACATTCTGTATTTTAGATCCGGGAAGTCGGCAAGCAAGACCGCTATCTGCATCCAAGAAAACCATTTCAAATAGCCAAGACCCTGACCATTCTGCATATCAAGTTATAAGTGCAATGCGACAGGAAAATGAAGCAGTTGAAAGAGCAAGCAGCAGACAGGCGGTAGGCTCTGTAATAGCTGTGAAAATCAAACCTGTTTTAATATTTGTGATACAAACACTACAGATATACTGTATGTATAACATGTTTATTCACATAGCTTTCATAGATGGTTTTATTTTGGGAGCCAAACAAATAGTAATTGCACTATAGCATCTCAAAAAAAGCAAAAGGATGATATTTATGAGATTGTACCAATACCCAAGCATGAATGAGCAATACCCATTAATTGTTATAGCCACTGGGATATGATGGAACATGTTGTAAATAATTTATATGATGGGTTTCTCCTAATATATATTTTTTTGAGCCACAAAACATCTGTTTTATTAAAAATTCCTACCCTTTTGATCTGTTTGCTTATCACTGACGAGGACATTATGAGGCATTATACCAGCTTGCACATATTTATAATATAGATATTTAAATATTATTACCCAGGTGAAATGGATATGTAAATATATTCCAATGACTACAATAATATTCACATAAACACCCCTAGATCTGAGGATTCTTAGACAAAAGAAGTAGTTCCATCAGCAATATACATTTATTGGTAGGGTTACATATTTACAAATAACACACAAAACAATATTTACAAGACAATGTACAAGTGTGGTGGAGTTTTACCTCTCAGCTTCTCGCCTGTTCATACTGAATGCCTTTGTGTTCCAGGTAAAAGAGAGCACGTGGCTTGCTAACAATACCTTATATATCCTCCTTTCTGTATACTGCCTACCAAATGTACATTGGGCATAACCTGATTGGAGGATTTAAATAAGGTTGCTGTTTACCCCCCCATGTGAGATGTGATAAGCAAACAAAACAATAGCTAGGACTTTAAAGCAGACAGATTCACAGTAACACAATTGAGGAACTGAGAGTCACATAACATGCAGATAGATGCAGTCAAATATATATATATTATATTATCTAATTTAATATATTACACAAGCAAAACTTTATATGGCAACAATATTTTGAAAAATGTTTATGGCATATTTTTAGGAATATGCATTTCTACGGATATTACAAACTAAAGATCTTAATTCTAGTTGAATTGATGGTCTTAACATTTTAATATTAGAAAGCTTAATGGACCCATATTTATGCAAATGTCATATTTCAGGTTTAGTTGGATGCAAATGGGTTTCATACCCAATTCCAGCTGCAAAATTTAACCAACAGAGATAATCAGATAGTTAAGTAAGAGGTCTTGCGTGCCCAGATTGAGTTTTACTTGCCAATAGACTTTCACTCCTACATTCTTACACCAAATGTATTCATTTGCCTCTCCTATCATAAATGGAAAAAAATGGCTTTTTTCGACTATCTTTTACTCAGCTGATAATTGTTATTTCCCACCTTCTATTGTTTCCACTGTTACTTTATTCAGAATTAACAGACATGCAATACACTGCAGTTTTTCTGTGTGCATTTCAGGTCTTGCTTAACTGATCCAATGTAAATTAACCCATTCAAATATGGTGCATCTGCAGTGCAACAGAAGAGCCCCTTTTCATTGCAGAAAAACTTGAAAATATGTTCACAGAGAAGTTAATTTGTTTTGTTTTTGAATATTGATTGCAAACTCATTTACTGTATTACTGTGGTTCACAAATGATTAATTGACATATTCTGAGGAGCACTGTATTTGAATGTGCACATTACAACACAAACTAAATTTTTTTGTATAATATTATTTTGTTACATTATTATGTATGCAATAAAGATTAATTGCAGTTAGTACTTTAGCCCTGCTCTCATTCTGGTGATATTATATTTGTGGATGTACATTATGCATTCTGTTGCCCTGAAAACCACAGAAGGCATGTTGAGTTACCCTGCAGCTAGTTGACCACCCAGTTTGCAGTAAGAGTAAGGGGTCTGGGCAAGGTGGAGTAC